ATTTTCTGATACACATTGCTGTCCTTATGCTAGGTAAAAAGTTTGAGCTGATTTTGCAAAAAAAATTTCAAGTTATGAGCAATTTTATATAGAGAATAAGCCATTTTTGAAAAAAAAACAAAAGCTATAACCTATGGTTTTTACCAACAATTGAATCTAAAATCACTTTCAATTTTTATTATAAATTATGACACATACATGTCATATGTATTACTACAACCTAACGTCTATCATTACATAGACAGTTAGACACTATACCTTTTAGATATGATTTGATATTATGATCAATGATAAGCGAGTAATCATCGTCACTAGTTACATTAGTTGACCATATCTCAGTGAACCTGTTCCTCAGTGCTGGAGACAACTAAAGGAATCAAATGTAATAAAAAATAAAATTCACTTTTAATTTTTGGATTTTGATAATGTGCTATATAATGCATGTAGGTTATTTAATTAGTTTAATACATGTACATGTGTATAAAAAAGGCTTGACAAATAAAGCTACTGTTAATAGGTTTAAAGTTAAAGATTCCTAGAGCTGCAACAAAAAGTGAATAGTTTGTGGTTTTTTGCCATCCCTGTACATGCACATGTACACTTCTATGCCAGTACAATAAACTCAGTATTTAATTACTACTAACCTCTTTCTTTCCGTAGTCTCCTCCAGGATTCATAGTAGCCATAAACTGGAAGCCACTAGCAGCAATCACTTCATCCTTTACTTCCCTCCCTCCTCCTCTCTCTGCCACCAGTAGCTTCCTCTCTGGCTCCAGTACAGAGTTGAGTCTTTCAAGGACTGCATCATCAGCCAGCGATATCTCATCAATCAATATGCACTGTCCTCTCTTCATACACTCTACCAGTACACCATCTCTCCATTCAAACAGACAATGAGTCTACACATAATGATGAGAAAAACCTTGAACATAATGTCACATACACACACAAACACACACACACACACACACACACACACACACACACGCATTTTTCTGTTTTTCTCCTTTCCATCTTCTTTTATATCTCATTACTTCCTCCTCTCTCTCTCTCTTTCTTACTTGTTTTTCATTCTCGTTCCTGTTACGTATTGGTCTGAGTCCCCCGAGGAAGTCGGCAGCTTCAGAGTGCAAGTGACAATTAACAATTGACAGCTCTGACCTTAACAGCTTAGCTATTAACTGACACAGAGTCGTCTTACCACAACTAAAATAAATATAAAAATATAAATACACTCATTACTAATAAATTCATACCCAGTGGTTCCGATCAATAGTGTTGGTTCATCAAACTGTATGGCTCTATAAAGGAGTACTGCAGTTTTAAGTAGCCCAGGGGTCCAGTAAAGGTGATGAAATTCCTCATGAAGGGGTCCGGTCAATATTTTCAAACATTCAGCCGTGGCAAGACCCCCTGGGCTGGTGAAGAGGGCTAGGGGGTCGACTGATTTCTTGAAATGCTGA